CCACCCAGGTCGGGCACGGCTCAGATCCGGATCGTGGTGCTCGATGCCAACGACAACACGCCTGTGTTCAGCCGGGAGGTCTACGAGGTGCGCCTGGCCGAGAACAGCCCCCCGGAGCAGCTGGTGGTCAGAGTCACGGCCTCAGATCCCGACGCAGGATCCAACGGGAAAGTGCGGTACGCCTTCACCCAGACACCGGAGCGGTCCCGGCAGCTCTTCGAGCTGAACCCGGACACCGGGGAGATTCGGGTCTCGGGCAACCTGGACTTCGAGGAAGAGAAAAGCCACGAGATGGTGGTGAGAGCCACGGACGGCGGGGGGCTCTCTGCGGGTGGAGGTCCTGGACGTGAATGACAACGCCCCGGAGATAGCGCTCACCTCCCTGACAGCCTCCATTCCCGAGGACGCCCCGGCCCGCACCGTGGTGGCCCTGTTCAGTGTGCGGGACCGGGACTCCGGCGACAACGGCAGGACGGAGTGCTCGATCGAGGGCGACGTGCCCTTCAGTCTCACTCCCACTTCCGATGGTTACTACGAACTGCGAACAAGCGCGGCGCTGGACAGGGAGAGGACGGCCGAGTATAACATCACGGTGACCGCCAGGGACTGGGGCAGGAGGCGGCTGAGCTCTCGGGAAAGCATCTTGGTGCAGATCGGCGACGTGAACGACAACGCGCCGGCGTTCAGCCAGGAGCTGTACAGCATGTCGGTGGCGGAGAACAACGGCCCGATGCTGCGGATCGGCAGCGTGAAGGCGACGGACGCGGACGCGGGAGAGAACGCGCGCGTCAGGTACGCGCTGGTGCGGCAGGAGGGTGAGGAGCAGCCCGAGGTGGCGGTGAACGCCGAGACCGGGGACGTTTACGTGGTGCGGCCGCTGGACTACGAGCAGGTGCGCGCCTTCGAGGTGGCGGTGCGCGCCGCCGACGGCGGGGCGCCGGCGCTGAGCGGCCAGGCGGTGGTGCGCGTGCTGGTGCGGGACGAGAACGACAACGCGCCCGTGGTGCTGCACCCGCGGGCCGAGGGCAGCGCGGCGTCGGGCG